CACGGCACACCTGACGATCACTCATGGTGCACCAGTGTGCCGCAGCACAGTGGTTGAAAAACACTGCAGTCAGTCAACACCTCCACACAATAATTCAGCGCAGTGAGTGACAACTGTTTCTCATCACAAATGCTTATGTGTCTCTGTACAGCTAGCTTTGCTAACATCACGTCAATGGAGCTAACCTTCTTTGAGCTTCTTTTCTAAGTGACGAAAAAAGTTAGACGTTCCCCACCGTCTGTGAAACGGTGGGTCCATAGCTGTGGCCATCGGATGTCTTATGGTTTATGCAGCGCTATTATATTACTGACGATCAGACAGACATCTTCTGCCGCTCAGAGGAAACCACTGCGCATGTCTGGAGCTCCGCGTGCGAGTAAAGGTGGGGAGGGGGAAGTAACAGAAACACGTAATTGGTAAGTCACGTTATTGCTTGGATTTTAATCTGGTATGTTTTGCATCTACTTAAAACAAAGATGTTAACAAATAAACTGGACAGTATGCTGTAAGTTTAGTGATATTTCCACAGTTGCGGTCTTGACTGGTCTTGAAATAAAATCCCGATTCTCAGCGCCTGAGACCGAGACAGTGTGAACCCTTTAAGATGTGTTGGAGCTATTTTTTCCTTTATTCCTTTATCAATTTGAATTTTGTTAGTTTATTCTTAAATTTCTGTTTTTGTATGATTTACATAGTTTATTTGTAGGTTAATTATTGCTGACTTTATTTTTTTATTTTGTATTTTTTATTTATTTTTCTATGTTTAAACAGGAAGTAATGTGGGTCAGTCCACTTTGTATAAATGTAGGTGCCTGGTAAAGGACCAGCAGGCATTTGGGTTTGGGGCCTATATGGTGTTTACCAGAGCAAGAGAGGTAGAGAACAAAGGAAAGTTTGAACTCTGTAATTGTGTTCAAAAAACAGGAAAATAAATCATCAAGAAACAACCAACAAGTTTGGACATTGAACCTTCTTTTGCCTGTGTCGAAAAACTTGACCCCAGTGTCTTAGTAGTGGCTTGGTGGAACTTTTATTGGATGTTTGGTTTGACAAACAATGCCACTATAAGATGATACCAAACACTGTAATGTAGGCCTTTGACAAATGCCCATACCAGGAGCCTAAACCAGACATACACCAGTCTCAAAAACCAGAATTTTTCCAAAGGGGTTGTTTACTTCATTAGCTGATAACTATGACTCAGCTACCATTTTGGAAGGGCTATCATACCAAAAATATTAACTAGAGACATGTATCTTTTCAAAAAATATTGATAGACTGTGCCACCCTGAAATAGGCAAAAAAAAAAGGTCTGGCCCCATGGACTATGCTGAGTGTGATCCCAGTTTAAATCTTCTACCAGTGCGGCTGCCTGCCACAGGTTGCGGTCTGTTCTTCCTGCAACGCTGCATGGAAATGTGCCGTAATGGGACTGCGCATGCCCTGCGCCCCCCATCGCCTCCATGACAAATGACCTGCAGTGTCTTGGCTCTTTGGACCAGAGGGTGAACATCAATGCTCCTGGAGCTGTTGGCAGCATCCGGTTGGAGCGCCAGGTCGAGTAGCTGTTAGGTGGGGAGGACCCCCTGCAGGCTCGGTTGTGATTCTGGTGTCCCATGCAGCCCGATTCGGGCTGCTGAGTTGTGGGAAACCTTGGAGTGTTTATTTGGTCTTTCTTCCTACACCAGTAACACATACTGCATCCATTTTCAAAATAATAACGCATCAGCAAACAAAATTAAATCTATTCTCTCCTCTAAAGCCAACACTCTACAAGCATCCACTTAGTAATTATATGAACAGAAAAACTAAACTTTTCATTCAAAGTTTTGTTCGGTAACTAACATATTTAGTTTGTAGTTATTTAATAAGCTAAAATGAACCAAACAGAAACTTGTTTTACTCATATTCATGTATATTTTACAGCGGCTAATGGAGCTGCTGGTAACTTTACAGGCGCTAAAGCAAGCTAACAGGAATATAGCAGCTGGCTCTCAGAAACCAAGCACACCTGGCTCAGGGAAACAGGAAGGGGCGGGGCAGTCTCATACCATATTTGGAAATGGGACCACTCCACTCCGGAAGTGAAGGGGGCACAATTTCCAATATTATCTACAGTCTCCCGTTTTTATTTTCTTTTTAAATCTGATATATTTTCACCTTTAGGAAGGAGTTTCACTCTCAGCATGTATTTGAACTTCTCTCTTTTATTTACTTCAGTGCAGCTCACAGTTCTTAAATTCTGTAGTTTTCTGTGTAACTTCTAAATCTGTAATTATATTAGGTGTGTGGTAACACACCTAATATAATTACATCACTAAATCAGAATACTTTCCCACAAAATCTTTATTATTTGTATTAATTCTGGAATTACTGGCACTGTAAAAGATAATTTATCTAAAAAAATCACCATAGCTTTTTTATTTTCTTAAGGATGTAGATCTAAACAAAACCTGATAGTGGTTTATGCCTGATTTATACATTCAAATTCTACTGGTACTAAAACATAAAAAAAATATTGGCATTAATATTTTCTGTCATAGGCGCAACAAAAAAAACAACATAATAAATTCACTACTAAACTATTCTAGTGTATATTATATTTTGTTCCAAGACAAAGATTTTGAGCATTCGTAAGAATTAGAATGAATAAAGCAAAAATACCTAAACATCTCCACTAATTATATAAGGAATAAAAGAAATAAGGAGACATGAAAAGCAAGATAAACTATAATAAAAACCATTTACAATCTATGCATAAGAAACTTAACTGAGCAAAAGTCAAATAAATTAATTAGGTTAACAGTAGAATAACAAATTTGGTTGTTTAACAAAGACCAGCAAAAATTCATATTTTTGCTTTTATGGGGCTATATTGATTATTCTGAGACTTTTTTTGTTTGGTAGGAAAAAATAAGATGAAACTATTTAGTCTATCAAGGTGGAAATATTCCTTTGACTTTTAAACAATAAAACACATTCATAGAATCATAATATCAACAATTTGTGCATCGAGTAAAACACTTAGCATGCTAAAGCTAAATGTTATTAAGTTTGGTTGAGAATAATTATTGCACTGTCAATAAATTACTTCTAATCGATGTTCTTAGTTGCCTGGGAAACTCAATAACGCCTTCATGAGCTCAGAGGGTCAAACTGATGAAAAACGAGGATGGGTCCTGACTCAAGAGACCAGAGGACAGACTGTAGGATGGACCGAGGACCTGAGGAGGACTCACCATGGGCTCTGATCATCTGCTGCTTCCCATCTCTTTGGACCACAGCAGAAGATGTCAGCGCCATCCTTTGGCTGCTGCTATAATCATTCTGGTGCTTCATGATGATCCCTGTTGGACACAGCAGAGCCTCCAGTGAGGACAGTTCCTTGAGGAATTGTTAATACTCTGTACAGAAATGTAAAGCCCCATGTAAAATATAAGAGTTTTATGAAGATTTGGGTTACGCAATTTATAGAGAAACTCAGACTATATTTTCAGTAATTACTGATCTTCATATTGGCATTGATAACATGGTGTGGCCATTTGTAGTGCATTGATAGTCCTTTGACCATGATAGGGGTCAGATTGAAGAATTTGATTTTGACCCAGTTGGCTTCTCAATCAATCAATCAAATTTTTTTGATTGCAGCAGCAAGGCATTTCAAAGAGTTTTACATCATAAAAAACACAAAAACACAAAGTCATGCAACATAGAATCAACTATCAGAACATTACATTAAGTCAAGAATAATTGACTTAATTATTCTCTTATTTCTTATACAGCTCTTATTTCAAGACATAAGATAGTCAAAGGTCATAAAATTTACAACAAGAAATGTATAACAAAGTTTCATAAAATATCTTATTGCTAAAATTTTCA